CATATGTTATTTAATAATTAATTTAAGTAATGATGACTCCCCTCGTCATCTCCTGCCACAAATAGAAAGTGATTTTGTGGGAACACAATGTGCAGACAGACAGCTGCGGGCTCAGAGCCCTGTGGCATTGAAGCTAACTTCCCCTCCCATCACCTCCTCTCTTCCCTTGCTCTCCTCCCTTTTCCTCTTTCCATTCCTGCTCTCCCCAGAGCTTAAACACTGATTGATGCTCTGACTTGTCCGTGTGTGTATGTATAATCAGAACTTTGGCTTACCAATGTTCTCCCTAGAGAGACAAATTTCCGACATCGCTCTTGGTCTGGCCAAATGCTCTGAACACACACATATACACACACTGTCCTCCTTTCACAGTTGACATATCAGGAGTCTGTTGTGTAATAAGTTTGGATTTTCCTGCAAAGCTCTTGTTTGACCTCAAGGGCTAATTTCTAATCGACTCTAATGGAGCTTTCCTGTTAGCAGCCTGCCCAGTGCTCTCCTGTTCTGAATTTTACTAGTTTCTGAGTTGTGACGAGTGCCTGCAGACCCGTTCTGTTTAAGCAGTTCTGCCATAAACCATATCTGTTTTTGGCGAGTGTGTAATAGTCACATGGTGTCATAATCTATGTGTGTGTTTTCTTTCTAGACAAGTTTTTGGGTGGTAAGAGAGATCCTCCATGCGCAGACGCTGAAGATCAGAGCAGAGGTGTTGAGTCTTTACATTCGCACTGCCAAGGTACACGACCCTACGCATAATATGACTTTACTGTTCTTAACTTATGAATGTTTGCAGAGTAAACTCAACTTACATGCTCTATGTGCTTCAACTAGAAACTGTGTGACATTAACAACCTTCATGCGGTCATGGCTGTGGTGTCGGGGTTACAAAGTGCTCCCATCTTCAGGCTTACCAAAACATGGGCGGTGAGTATATTTACTTAACTCAAAAAGCAAGTCTGATTTATTAGTGGAGTGCTGTTGATAGAAAGGGGTTAATATAATGAGAATTTAATAAGCTTATTTTTTAAAGGTCTGTTTTACAAATGTGTGAGGGGCAACAAGTCTGTGTCTCTCTAAAGTTGTAGATCTTCGATAATGGCATAATTATGCTGTGATGTAATGAGGGAAGTTTTTTATGCTCTGGTCCACAAAACCACTAAAACAGATTCTTTTCAACAGTCAGTAAATAGTTTTGCTGGCAAGGACACATGCCGCTGAGAAGAGACACACACACATTTCTGCATTAGTACGTTGGGTCGCGTTGTGTGCAACAGTCAAGTCAATCTCTTCCTCTTTTTGTTTTTTATCGACGTTTTGCAAACAGCTTTTGGTTGCATGACTACCGCTCACTGAGAGTGTGGACCCACTTCAGGTGTCACTCTCTCTTTCATTTTACTCTCTGTCATCTTACTCTCTGTCATCCAGATGTGCTCTTTGGCACCATTCATACCTGATATTCATATTTTTTACACTGTTGTGTAAACACAAATGCATCCTGGGCCACATTGAAGGACCATCTACTCAGTTGATGCTCTCTGACCTGTTACAGTTTCATAATGAACCAAAAGTATTTTAATATACTTCTCAGTATTTACGATTGATTTGTGGCCAGTCTCAGTAGCAATATTGTCCATCACATTTTTTTTTTAATGACTAAATTCCTATTCTATAAAAGAGCTGCGCACAGTTTATTGATTCGCTCGGCCAATCCTAGCCAAGCTTTCTTTCTCTCCCCCTCTAAGAAGGAGACACAGGCCACATACGCATTGAGAACAGAAACATCTATATAGTCAGATTGGCATAAACATCAGTTGGTCTCTGCAAACAGAAATTATGTAGGTGTTAATTTCTATGTAGAGCAGGGAAGTGAGATATAATCACAAATGCTCACAGGGGATGCATGTGGAGACACATTCTAAACGACATGTTTGAAATGACAAACATACCTGAACAGGACTGTGCTGCCATTGTCCAAAAGTGATCTAGCTGTCACACACAGATATACGCAAGCATGCAAACAAAGTACTGCTCTACCTGGAAAGTTGCAGCCTTGTTCATCAGAGATCTGTTAAGTCAAATTACTTGATAGAGGATTTTCAGAAGCTTGCTCCTTCCGAGAGATCTTAGTGGAACTTTATGTCCCACTACTTGTAATGGTATTATTTTTTACAACATGTCTGCTTTTTATTCTGACACTGAAAAGTAAATGACTTAAACTAATTTTCCAACTAAGGATTGACTGCAGCTTAAGTGTCAGAACTTTGAAGAAAGGAAGTGTAAATGTGTAGCTGGATAACAGTTTGTTACCAGACTTCTGATTAACCAGTGACCAACACTGCTTGCCAGTTCTGTCTGTGTTGCATTATTTTTCTCCATTTTTAGATTCTCAGACTTTCTGCTTTTACACTGAAACTTTTTTGGGAGTGTGTCCCATTACACCCTTCACTCTGAAGAAGAAGTGACTTGAATGGATTAGATTTTATGAGAGAACTTCTTTTCCTCCCCTTAATTCATTAGATAGGAAACACATGATAGCTTTCTATTTAGATCTCATGTTCTCTCTCTCTCTTTGCTCCCCCTTCTTTCTCCTTTACTTCACAGTTACTGAGTCGTAAGGACAAGGCAACGTTTGATCGACTCGACTACCTGATGTCCAAAGAAGACAACTACAAACGTCTGAGAGACTACATAAGCAGCCAGAGCATGGTCTCATGTATACCATACCTAGGTAACAGACACAAACAGACATGCACCAAGGAGACATCCACATGGTTTGATCTTTGAACGAGGCACAGACGTTGCTGATTGTCAGCTTCCTATCTTTATGGACCATTTACTGACCAGAGGTTAATCTAAGGACAGGTGTCTGGGTTTAAAAACTAACAGCCTCTGCTTGTGTGTCTGGACTGAAACAAAGAATGAGAAGTGTGTTAATGCTGGACGGATTACCACGAAACTTGCTGCAAGGATGTGGTAGGGGTCAGGGAAGAACCCGTTAAATTTTGATGAGGATCCATATCAGGGGGCAGATCCAGGAATTTATTTATTCTTTCTTGAATATAATGAGGCATTTTTCAACATTTCATTGAATTTTCAGGGATTAATGGATCATGGATCTTGATGGAAAAACTAGGCATATTTTGGGACTGATAATTATGAGTGTGTGTAATTTGGTGCACATCCCAAACAGAAAAAAATCTAATGAATTCAGATGTGGTTTCATTAGGGGACTGTTGGGCCTTGGCAGAGGCATGAACTCTACTGTGAGCCATTCTAGTTCTGCTCTGTTTCTCAGACAATGTTGAATTTTCCTGAAACTTCTCAAATTTCTTTTGGAATAAACGCATGGATCAGTGAGGAAAACTGAAAATAACAATAATAAATGTCTTTTTCCTCCCCTTAAATATTTATACCCCTTTTCTCTTTGGCTCCATGGCATGACATCATGCAGGAATCCCATATGAGTTGGGCAGTGAAATCGCTCATGTCCACATGTGTGGTTTTATTGCTGTACTGTTTGTTCTCTTTTTTTCATTTGATGACGACTTTGATCTTTACTGCCATGATTTTTTGTTTCTCTTACAATCAGACTGGTATCATAGCTACTGCTGTGAGATGCAAACTTAGCCACTGGAGCATGGAGTAACAAACACAGACACAAGCATAAACACGGAAAGCTGGAAAGTCTGTTTGTCGTTATAGAAATTTTTAACCACTCATTATCCCCACTGTGCTCCGTTATGGAAGTCTGGACATAATGACAGACCGGGAGACGAATGCAAAGCTAATGCTGTGTAACGGCACATGTTTGCGAGCTTAACTATGTCCTTGCGTTGCATATGTGAATAAGACGATAAGTTGGTTGTTCTATTGGGTGGAGTCTGTGTTTTAAGTGTTGGTGTGAGTTTTCTTACAGTCTGCTGAGTGTGTATGTGTGATGTATGACCAGCTGGCTGCCCTAAGAGTTGGACTGAGCCAAGTTGGCACACAGGATGGAAATCGCCACTCTCCTGTTCTCAGACGTTCCCCTTTATCATAAATCCACCAGTCCCTTCAGAGAGAGTGTGAGTGAGGGAGGGAGGGAATGAACAAAAGCCACAGTGCTGGTTCCAGAGCATCCCTCCCCCGTGTGTGTGTGTGTGTGTGTGTGTGTGCACTCCTGTTTGATGCCTCTTGAGAACCTTTTCTAGTGTAAACACTGACCTTGTGATTCACAAGTTGTGAGGACTACTTGTCCTCGTGGGAACCAAAGCTCAGTTGTAATGAGTTAAAACAAGATTTCCGAGGTCCTTGTTAAAGTTGGGGATTAGGTTTTGTTTAGCCTGTCCACAATGAATGGAAGTCAATGCAGTGCAATAAGGATAGCTGCGCAAATGTGAGTGTGCAATGGTTAATTTGGGTTGGATAGATTTCTCTTAATTTATTTACCTCTATTAGTATCTATTAAGTCCCAGCCCAAAGCAGAGGGCTGAGATTACCAGATATGCCACAGGTAGGTAAACTTTCACAATGTGTCTGTGTACATGTGGCTCTTTTGTGACATCCTGTCATGTTTCTGTCTGCTGTGTGTCCCTGTGGGTGTGACACTTACCTCTGGCGATAAGGCTAAAGAAAGAACCTTGTGTCTGCTTTTTAGTCATTGAGCCTTGTTTTTTGCATAGTGATACGTTTGTGCTAAAGTACATGTGTGCGTCTGAACTCCGACCTCTTATTCGACTCAGCAGAAACAGACCTCCTGTCTGTGTTCACCACAAGGCCTGCCTGTTAAATGCTCAGATGAACTTGTCCCTGTTCTCTAGCTAATCATGCAAGGGACAAAGAGCCCATAGAAATGTTTCACTCCACTGTGACACAACACATACGCACACGAAAACTCCTTACCCTTTCACCTTGTCTCTGCTGGCCACATAGCATAAGCTAAATAACAACAGTAGCTACAGTCCTCTATCTGTGTGCACTGAGTTGGCTCATGTTTCATCCATACTTCTATGTTCTCATTTTAGAAAAGTGTTTTAAAGCTAAGAAGATCTCAGTCTCAGAAATGGTTTGATGCAGCCCCCCAATCTGACTCTGTAATTGTGTTTCGGAGAGGGTTTCTGAAACTATCCAGCTGCAAATACTGGCCCCTTAAGAGTTTTAAAGTACCTTAATTGCTTCCATGAGCGGTGCTACAGTGAGCCAAACTACAATAAGTAGCCTCCTGTTGTTTTTAGAATATTTACATTTATCTGTCCCGCTCACCTAATTTATTATCTTTGCTTAACCTCTGTATGTCTGCACTCCTCTTTCTACTCATAGTTCTAAAGAAATGCTACGTTAAACAGGTAAGAAGAAGAACAGCTGAAACATGTCCTACACAGACGGGGGTTTACTTACTGGCCTCTTAATGGGGTGTAATTCATCAATGACCTTGTGTTAATATTTATGACAATCTCAGTCTATCTCAGTCTGCATCTGCAACAGCTGTGGCCACAGGCATTATGTTTTTGAGCTGTCCGTCCATCCTCTTATCATGAGCACAATATCTCTGGAACGCCTTGAGGGAGTTTATTGTAAATTTCAAAGATGACATGAGTACATTTTGTTGGTCAAATATCAAGATCACTGTGGCCTCTCCCACATGTCTGTGTCTCAGAAAACACTCGAGCATTTCAAAAAGGCATCTGGAAAAAGTGAATAGCTTTTTTGTGCGTGCAGTGAATGTTCCCCAGCTATCTTGTGTCTTGCCTTTTATCACTCTTTATTGTCTCTGCGTTTTATCTGTAAATTCTTCCACACCAGCATCATTTGATATCCTCACTATTATCTATCTCTGTCTGTACCTTAGTATAGTCCCAACTGTCTCATTGAATCTGCCTTTTATTATCCCCTTGCAAAATTATTTTCTTTTACCTACTTTCTTCCAAATCACGAGATTTTAAATGCAGACTCTTACAGCTCATTTTTATCCCCTTCTTCAGTGCCTTGATTGCTTGGAATGCACTTCAGTCAGGTCAAAGAAATTCACAGTGGTTCATTTAAGTTGATTGTATCATCTTTTTAAATGGATAGAGACTTTACTGATACTTTAAACACTGTAATATTTCAAGTTTTACTGTTTGTTTTGGTTTTCATTAAGATGAAGGTGAGTGAAGACTTAGACTGTTCAGTGTTTATAAAGCATTTAATTTGATTTGGAAACTGGCAGTGGATGTCACACATTCCCCACACTCAAGTCAACTAGAAATCCACTTTGTATTTGTTGTGTGTGAGTGCATGTGCACGTACCCACTTCGACTGTTAAACTGGTATCAATGTTTTTCTACATAGGTTTTTAAAAAAAATTAAGAATTGTATTGTAACAGGGCTAGATATAAAATGGCCCTGGCTATACTTACTATAAATACACTGATAAATAACAAAGACTGGCAGAGTGACAACAATTCGAACATTTGGCCTGAGTAGTATCACACCTCTTAAATTAACTTTCACAAATACAGCCAGATATATTTACATACCAAAGCCAGCTCAGCCATATGCAATTTGAACAAGCACACTGTTGCATTGGTTCATTTCTTTCGTGTGGGGTCAAAGGAAAACCCAAAAAGTCCAGAAAAATCCCAGAAACAGACAGACAGTAAGTTCATCAAGCCCTTTCCGCATTTGTTCATCAAATATTCTAACTGAAATTTTTAAATTGCATTGATTTTCTTGCTACTGATGTTTAACATCCCAGTACATCCATAATCCCGTGGTACGGGCAACACTTCCTTCAATAAATCACCATTAGCTGCTCAGGAGAAATCTCATATCTTAAAGTAAATGACCATTTCCCTTTATTACACGTTTCACCAGGAGCTAGTAAAATGGAACATGTGAGAGTAGTACTAAATGGTCTCAGAGAGTTTTATGGACCATTACTGTCCAGACTGAAAGGTGGAGGAGAGCAGTTATTTATGAAGGGCAATGGTATCAGTCCTCTTTCACTTTTGAGCCGACTCTTAGAGTCATTATCATCTGACTATAAACACGTGACTCCATCTCTTCCCTTGCTCTCTTCTAGAAGGTGCAGTTGGACAATGGCAGGGGTTCCTGGTCCTGCTTTTACAGAATTTGTTACGGGTAGATTAAGATAAGGAAGGAGACTAAGGATTGTTCGAAGAAAACCAAAGTTCAATGTTTTATTCGATTGGTCGGATCATGAGGCGCACTGACTTAAGGGAGTAGAAACCTCCTCCATACTCTGCCCAGAAAATTCCATCCTGAAATTTGCTGCGGTAAACTCCCCCGCTGTACCACACGCCATTCAAGTTGGTCTGGCCACAGGCATTGTACCACCAGCCACCCTTATGGAAGTGGGCGCAGTTGCCTAGTGGAGAGAGACACAACAGGGGGAAATAGAATGAGTCAGTGTGATGGACAACCTGAATTGTGTCATTACTCTGAAACTAACGGAACAAATGGAACAGCATGCTGGAACTCCTTTAGCATCCACCTTACCAGAAAACGCATCCTTGTCGCGATCAAGCGTGGTGAACTGTTTGCCGTTGTGACTGCTCAATGAGTCCCCAGCGTTCCCTTGGTAGGTGCCAAGCCTTAGTCTGTAACCCTCGCTCTCTGACTCCAGACGGAAGCTGCTGTATTCTGCATACACCTTCTTCCCGGTCCAGTCCTCCAGCTCTACCATCAGCTTGTAGTCGCCCTGTTTCCCAAGGTTGTAGATATTGTCCAATCCAAGCCAGTGTTCAC